GAATCACAGTGGTAATCCACATCCTCATCCCCAATCCAATAATGCTTCCAAATATAAAAGCTTTTCATATCACCCCCTATTTTTGTTTGACTTATCAAGAGTTGATTTTTTTTAATGTTACCATAAAGGCACCACTAATTTATCTCAGTGCAAAGGGGTCGGGAGGGAAGAGAAAGTGTAGACCTCATCAAATACCCATGGAGTTGTTCCAGTTTCCTTGGAAGGTTAGCTCCTGTGTGGCCTCTTGTCCTTGCTTCTGGATGGACCATCTTTGGAGAGTAGTGCTTTAATCTGCTTCTACCTCCTGCATCTGTGGGCTTCACTGGTGAAGTCTCATAGCTGGTACCCCTTCAATCTGTCCTTGGGTTGTTGACATGACCTCACCCAGCATTACGGTGGGCACGTAGAGCCTGGGAATTTGCATTTCTCTTGAGTAGTCCCCATCCACACGCTGTCTGAGGCAGGGCTCCAAGGGCCCAGCTTCCTTGCTCGGAGACAGAACTCTAGGCCTTAGACCAAGGCTGAGAACTCACCTGTTTTCATTTACTCCCTTTCATCCCCTGGTCTCTCCTGAGAGGCCTTCATTCGTCAGTCATTTAAGGAGTCTTAGGCTCAACATTGCTTCTGAGAGAGCCCAGCCTGAGACCACCTTTTTCCTGAATCAATCTCTCTTATTTCATTTTTCAAGAATCTAGAATCAAATGTGGTTACTACTTTCTGGATGGTACATGAGGGAAACTTGAATTCCTCCCTCAGATTTTATGGAAATAGTACTGACAACGTTTATGTGTTTTATTGTTTAGAGTTGGAAGCGTATGTCCTGGAGTGGTTGATAAAGGACATTTCCAGCAGTGTAAACCCATGGCTCACTGGGGGAAAATTCTGAGACATACACACACATTTGTTGAAGGCTTCCCATGTTCCAGTCTCTGGGCCATGTGCTTTACGTGTGTGGACGCATTTGGTTCTGACAATTAACTGATGAAGCTGGTAAAATTAATAATCCCATTGTAAATATGGGAAAACTGAGTCATGCAGTATTTTAGCAACTTGTGTAAGCATGCAGCTGATAAGTAACTCCATACACTTTAGAAACAAGAATTCCCCAAATTTCTGGGAGTTTCCAAATCTTATTTTGTAGCTTGGTAATAATTTGGGATCAACACTGAAGAGTAAAACCTCCACAATGACTGCCATTTAATGCACATGAACCTCTCTGGTGGCATGAATGTGATCAGAGTTAGTGTTTTGTCCCCACTGGAGCAAAGAGAAGAGCAGCCCAAGAACAAAGCATCCCTGACATTGCAAGGAGGCCCAGGAAGACTTACAAAAGCGCCACTGGAACTAGACAACCTTTCAATCCATTTATCAAAGTGTCTGCACTTCCCATTTCAAGGTAGATGAAGCAATAATAAATTTGTGAAGAAAGTTAATCTGTGTCCAAAGCATTTTAGTAAATTAAAAAGGTGGGGGAAGGGAGGGCTTCCTGGAAGCGGGATGTATTGGTTCTTGCCAACTCCTATTTGACTTACTGTCTCCTTAATAAGTCCTCTTTGGTCTTGTGTTTTTGGATGGAATAATCAGTCAGTTAATCATTTTCCGGAAGCTAGAAAATGCACTTTAGCTAATGCAGTTCTTTCCTTTCAGAGCCCTAATTATTTAAAAAGGCATCTGGGTCCATGGTGCCACTTCCCAACCAAGAAAGCTTTCCCCGGCTGCCATCTTTCTTTATGTCCCCAGAAAAAAACTAGCACACTTTGCCTCCCTCCCACCGCCCTACTCCAACCTTGTACCTTTCCAATGTAAAAAAAGATTTTTTTTTTTTTTAAAGGATCCGCTCTGGTCACTTCCAAGCATTTCTGTGAGCTGCTTGTCTGGTGAAGGGTACTTCCCAACAATCAATTGGCCGGAAATAGGCTCTTAGGCATTATGGATAGATTTTGTTGTTTTTATTTGAGTGTCAGCCGAAAACGGTGGCTCTTGTGTCTCTTGTGTCTCTCAAGAATCATACTTAACAATAGCTCTAAGCTTTGGCATCATGCTGAGATAAACACACTATTAGGAACCCTCACAAAGGCCCTGCGATAATTGTGAAGGGATAGTTACCCGAAAATGAAGCACCCAGCCCTGAACCCTCCTCCACGCCCCATCAGTAACACCATTAAAGTTGTCAGTTTGTCAGCCCACTGGAGGTATTTATGAAATCAATATACAATCCCGCAGATGCATGGCAGCAGGATTGTTAGCTGGAGAAGGGAAGCTCAATGGAAAATAAAATTAATGAAATTTACAAGCAGATTGTCACGGGGAACAGATAAATTCCCTACTGTTTCCCTCAGTCAGGGCAGGGGAAAAGCAATATAAAGAGGAAGAAAGCAAACCATGCCTTAAACTGGGCTCAAGTCAGAGCAAGGCTGGGTATATTTGCAGAAAGAACACAGCGACCAGAAATCAAAGCAGCTGCCCCACCCAAGCGTGGGATTTTGCCTGAATGACATATAGGATACCTCCCGTGAATACCGCCATATTTTTCTGTTTAAATATGGCTCTCCTATCTTCATCCTGCCACATTGCAAACCAGAACTTTTGTAGAGCTGCTGCTCCTTCCGGGTGTGTTTCAGGGTGGGATGCCTTTTACTCGAAACGGCTTAATGCATTACTGGGATACGTGCCCTTGTTCCAGCTTCCAGCCACGGTCAAGGCTGACAATTCTAAATGTTCTCCTGTTTGTTTCGTGCCCCTGATTTCCCTCATCAGCCATTTGTCAGATGTGTGAGCGGAGCTCATCTCCCAGAACCACCAAAGATAACAGCCAAGCCCGGGAGGGTGGCAGGCAGGGGGTTAGTGGCCTGTAAACCAGCTTTTGCTTGCCAGAAAAGACGGGGCCCACTGTGGCTGCTGGAGGCTCTCGCGCAGCCCAGATGCCTGGTAGAAATTGCATTAGTCGGATGACAGGACCTGGGCCCCTTCTCCAGAAGCTGATGGAGAGCAGCCGAGTGGCCTGGGTGACACTGCCTGACCTCTGCTGTCATCATGGGCTTTGTTCAGTGCCCTGACTCCAGGCTGGAGCCCTGCTCATTGAATCAGGCCTGGTTGGGGGAGCCGGCAAGGGGGCTCATTGTGCATCTAAATTTACTTACATCAGTTGCAGACAGAGGAAACTGCATTTGGATGGGGGTACCTTGTTATGCAGCCCTGGAAACCTGTAGGACTCACAGCACAATCTGACACCTGCAACCTGCCCCAGGTCTGAGTCTTGTTTTGGGGGGAGCAACAGACCTTCCCAATCTCTAGCATTCTGAGTTGTGGCCTGTTGCTTAGAGCACATTTAGCTTTCTCAGCAGGCAAGAGCAAGAAGTGGAAGCCTCTCTTCTACTTTCTGTTTTTCCTCCTCCCTCTTGCACACTGTTTAGACAGACAGCCCATGTTTTAGTTAGGGTGGTTGTCTGACCTCTCCTTTCAAACATACAGGGAGCCATCCGTAGCTTTTGACTGGAAGCCCTTAAAAAATCAGTATGTGAGCATCTGTCTGAACAATCTGTCTATAGGTCAATTCAACAAGGATGTGTGTATCCTGCATGCCAAAGCGGGACAAGTGTCCCTGAGTGTATGGGCAGAGAAATTTATCCCAGTGTTTCTTTAAATGGCAAGTAAATCAAATCAATGCCAGCCCAACAATTTGGGATCATATAGCCATCCATACAATTGGATGTTATATAACCTTTAAAAATGTTGGCATTGATGTACTGGGACAGATGTTCTCAATATAGTAAGTAAAAAATAGTTTATAATAGACTGTATATTATGAGGTGAAATTCATACATATTACTCCTAATTGGTAGCAGTGGTTATGTCTGAGTGGTTAATTTTTTGGCCTTAATATTTGAGGGTTTTTCTGTGTGTTCTTTTCAAACTAAAGCTATGTATATATATGTAGACACACACACACACACACACACCTTTTATGTCTGAAGAACACACATAGAGCTGATTGTGTCCTTAGTGCCGTCTCTGCGCACGCATCCTTCCACACCATCCTCTTTGGAGATGTTCCTGCGGCCGTGATGGTGCAGAACTAGCCTTGCTTGTCGCGCAGAGTGTTCTGCAGAGTGGCTCGTGTGCCCTGGAGGCCTGATGAGTCTTTACAGATTGATCACTTGCTGAGATCCAAGTGGGCTTGAAGTCCAAATGAAAACAAGTGCACGTGCTTGGTCGAGCAAGAAAAATAAAACAAGAAAGCAAAACCAAACAGCCCTCATCATCTGTTGTTTGGAAAGGAAACTCAGGCTTCAGGGCTGCTTAAACCCCCAGAAAAAACTTGGCTTTGAGCCAGCTGCAGGACCCTCACCCTATCCCTTGCCTTCCTCAAAGCAGCATGTCGGTGCTGCTTAATGCTAGACAAGGTGCTGGGGAACCCCTATTTTGTAACAGTTTGTAGAAATGCAATTTAAACTCATCACACTTGTCACTAAGAGCCAGGAGGCCTCCGGGGGTCTATGGGACTCTAGAATATGCTGAAGTGGTCATTCCCATCAGAAAATCAGATGGCCAGACTCTGTTCCCATCCCAGATGACAAAAGCAGAGAGCCTGGACGTCAAAGGACAGCCTGAGAGACAGGAGATTGAGTGGTGCTGACCTCGCAGTGGGGGAGGGATGCTTTGGGGAAAGGGGGGCACAGGGGTCTTCTCTGGGAGGTGGCAAAACAGAGAATTGGGTGAGGAGCGGCAACAAATAGCCCAGAATCTTGGCTCGTGGCCTGGAGGTGCGAGACCACCCACAGCGCCCGCCCTGGAGGCAGCTGCTGGCCTGGTAACCATTTCAGCAAAGGCCATGCTAGCACAACAATGTGAACGCTTGTAGGGCCTGGGCCTGAGACTAAACAGTCCCCAAACACCTCTGACCCACCGGGAGGCAGCCTCTGGGAGTTTTTGTTATCGTAATGAGATGCAGAGAAAGCAGCCTGGCTCTTTAACTGGTCTCCTCTTCTCCTCTTGTTTAGAGATCTGAGTGAAAACCAGATCCAGGGGATCCCGCGGAAGGCGTTCCGGGGCATCGCTGACGTGAAGAATCTGTAAGTGCTATTTTTGTTGCTTTGCTGCAGATTTGGTTCACGTGGGCTCCCTGGCCAGGATGAGGGAGAGAGAAGGGACAGGAGGGTGGTTTGGACATCTTCAGAGATTGAGGGCCGTGTGTAAGTGTTTTCCACAACAGCTTCACAAAGCCCTGCGCTTCCTGGCCATTCCACAAGCATTGGAATCCCACACCTGGGTCAGAGCCTCACATCACACAAGCTGAATGGCCTTGCTGCAAGTCATTATCAACTTTTGTAAAATAGGGACCATAGTGTGGATGTTGTATGCACTAAGAAAATGTTTTAAAAAAAAAGGAAATGATTAATTCTTAGTAAGTATTGAGTAAACTGGAGCTTTGATGATGATGATGATGATGATGAAGATCTCTTATAATTAGTCCCAAGAGAGACCCCTGGGACTTACATCCCAGGACCTTGGGGAAATGTAGCCAAATCCATTTCCTTTATGCTAGATTTTTGCTTGCTTTTTACTTTTTATTTTAAAATCATCATTGATTGACAGGATGTTTTTTTAAAAAAAGAAATAGGGCCCAGATCCATGTGCCAATTCCCCAGTGGTGACACCTTACAAACCAGGAGCCAACAGCAACACCAGGAAATTGGTGTTGGTGCCATCCACAGACTCACCTTCAGTCTTCCCAGTTACCCACACTTAAGCTCACACGTGCACTTGTTTGTATGCACATGGATGACTTAAGTGTGGGTAGCTGTGTGCCGTTTGATCACAGGTAGAGTTGTCCTGCCATCACCAAGGTCAAGAGCAGGACTGTTCCATCTCTGAACTCACCAAATAATCCTGATCCTTTCCTACCTGACCCCAGGTTTTGCTCTTATCAATGACTCCTGGGCCCTTACTTCACATGGTGTGTGCCTTCTGAACTCTACATACAACTATGCACAAGGGCTGGGGACATGTTTTTGGAAAGGGCCACAGAAAACAGTCTGGTTTGACTGAGAAAGCCAGTCTGCCCTCCAGCCTCAAATTCAATTTGAGAAGTATTGAAGGAGACTAGGAAGGAAGGAAAGAAGGAAGGAAGGAAGGAAGGAAGGAGAAAGGGAAGGGAAGGGAGAAAAGAGACAGAGAGAAAGAAAGAGAGAGAGAGAGAGAGAGAACCTACTTTAACTGTCACTTTTCCCTATAACAAATGGAGGGGCTTGAGTTTCCTGGCACACCCTAGGGAAGTTGATGATGGCTTCCAGATGCATGTTATCTGCGTCCCCCGTGGCTGGGCCTCAGCGGAAAGCTTTTGGTGCAAAGAACACAGAGGGCAGAGGCATCTGTGGGAGTGGAGGGACAGGGAGACAGAGAGGACTTCGAAGGGGGCTCTGGGTCAGAGGCTGCCTGCTGCGTCCACTAGGAGTGTTTGCTGAAGAGCAGGAGAGGGTGGGACAGGCACAGCCACACAGCCATGAGCCCTTTTGCAGGACAGATGTAGCCTCACTTAAGAAATAACTTCTGGGCTACAGTGTGGCTCAGTGGTAGAGTGCTTGTCTATCGTGCTTAAGGCCCCGGATTTAATCCTGGGTGCTGCAAAAAAAGGGCTGGAGGTCAGGGAGGGTGGAGGAAGGAAGGAACTTCTTAACTTTCTTCCAACTCCTCTTGAAAAGAAGACACAAACCAAGCCTAATAAATAAATAATAATGGACACTTTCTCAGCCAGAGGTGGCACTTTTAACATTTCAAAGCATTTTTTCCAACATTTCATTCCTTAGATTTTAGGAACTTAAGAGTGAACAAATGAATCAAAACCAATATATTGTGTTAATCAGCATCCCAGAACTTCAGGGCAAGAGAAAATAGAAGCCCAGAGAGGGGCAGTGACTATCTCAAGGTCAACTGTCACCTGGCTTCCTAATGATTGAGCCCCAAATGAATGTATTATTTATATATATATATATATATATATAAAAAAAGATCCGAGTCTGGAGGATGGAGCCCTAGGCAAACGCTCAACCATTGAGCTACACCACCAGTCCATGGCACTGATATTAAATGGATCATTTATAAACCTGACATAACATAATGATGTAGAAGCGTGGCCATATAGTTACGAATTACATTTTTGATTCTCAAGAAAGTGATTAAATCCCACCGTGATTATTAATTGTTGTTCGTGTTTCTTGGGCTTTGTGTTTTTGTTATTGAGAGTTTACAAGAGTTGTTTTAACTTTATAATGTCTTTAACCATGCAAAGGCCTTAGAGGTGAAAGGTTCGAAATGCCTTAAGTTACCCCAGCATGTGGAGTCAGGCCCACCTTCTAGAAAGAAGTGTACGCAAATACAGTTTGAGTAGCCCTTTTCCTAAATGCCTGGACCAGAAGTGTGGAATATTTGCATATACAGGAGATATTGTAGGGATGGAACCCAAGTTCTAACACAATCCATTTTTGCTTCATATCCACTTTATGCACTTAGCCTGAAGCTGTTTTTATACCATGTTTTTAATAATTCTGTGCATGAAACAGTTTCCCCGTGTGGACTTTTCCATTTGTGGTGTCCTCTCCGTGCTCAAAAGGTTGGGTTTTTGACTTAGGACTGTTCAGCCTTTATTTATCTCTGAAGAGCCTGAGCTCAGCAGGAGTCGGCTTCTGTTTTGTTCATACCCAGAACCAGCACGTGGTCCTGGGGGAAGAAGGAGTGTAGTAAACCGGCTGCTCAGAGGAAGGATCAACTTGCCAAACTAAGGGCTGTTGAACGCTTTGTGCTCCTAAGCAGTCGGCGACGCACTTGTGGGGCAGAACCCCTGAGACCCCAGAAGCATAATTCTTGTTCTCCGGGGACAAATAGAATAACCGGAGACAAGAAATATGTCCACCCAAGAGAAAGTTCAGTAAAATACCAGTCAACATGAAAATGCAAATGAGTGCCTGTGTACAGCCAGAGGCTGTCAGAGAAGAAAAATAGCTTTTGGCAATGTGGCTACGAGGTAGGGAATGGTTTGGGCTTCTGTATGAATTATACCTGTTCTAGGTGCTAAGTCTGTGACCTTTGGCACATGACACTTCTAGCCTAGGTTTCAACCATTGTAACATAAGGACAAGAATTGGACATACCTCCCAGGATTTTTGTTAAGGTTAATGAAATAATGCGTATGGAACAACTCATGAAGGTATTTAGAAAGTTCTTGCTGCTGTTGCTGCTGTATTCCTTTGTTCCTAATGGTGAAGATTTTAGCTGGTCCTGAACAATATTAGAATTCTTAATAAATGAGGCAGATGATGCATGCAGGCCTCCAGAGGTGTGTGTATCAGGGGGCACACAGTGGCATCTCCTGGCTTTGGGGGGATGATGAGACAGAACAGTAGGTGACGAGGTTAGAGGGGTGGTGGCCAGACAGTGGCACCTTGCCTGCAAGGAGGCGCAGGCACCAAAAAAATGGCCGGCTTCTGACCCAGAATAGGTCAAGGCAAAAACCATTCTGAAAGAGGAACCAAGGATAGGAGGCGGTGGCGAAGGAAGGGCTGGGGCAGGAGATGAGGCTATGGCGAGCTGGGGAGAGAGCAGTCAGAAGTCAAGAAAGGAAGAGTCCAAAGCAAGCCACCCGTGGGGACCAAGCCAGCAGAACTTGGTGACAAAGGGTTTCTAGAGGCAGGAGCAAAAGAAGTGTCAAATTAGAGTTCCAGGCTCTGAGAGTCAGGGCACGGTGGCAAGTCTCAGAGACATTCATCCACACACCCATCAAAATATCGTTTGAGTACCTGCTGAATGCCATTTCTGGGGAAAATGGAAGATAATGATCTATGCAGATGTGTGAGCCCTGTCTTCTTGGAGCTGCCTTCCTCAGAGGCTGAAAGGCTTGGGGAGAGGCAGGCTTGAAGGATCAGGAGTTGGATTGTAATAGTGCTGAGTATGAGTGATGTCCAGTCTCAGGGGCAGTGCAGACAGAGCCCCTTCTGTGTTTTAGGACACTGGTGGATCTGCCCATCCTCTCTTATTTCTTCTAGTTGCAGGAACATGCTATAACCCCCTACGTCTCTGGACCCCAGCTTTCCTGGTTTTATTAAACATGAGGGAGTTAGACTAAATAGCCCTATTGCCCTAAGAGAAAATGTCATGTGGGTAATTGGAGATGTAGGATAGGAGCTGAGAGTACATTTGTGGAGGGTTAGCACCCAGTGGAAGTGATAATGAATTGTAGATTTAAATGCACCTGGGGGCTGGGGGCAGAGCTCAGTGGTAGAGAGTTGTGATTAGCATGTGCAAGGTCCTGGGTTCAGTTCCCAGCACCACACTCACACAAAACAGGAGATGCTTTATAGAAATTAAGTTAGTATAAAACCTGTTAAAGAAATATGTGTCCATCACCCATGTGGAGGGTGTCTACCTTGCGAGTAATCAATAGCAAGCTTTAAATCTCAGGGGTGCACATCCTTGCCTTCATCTGAATACCAAGCCCCCAGCCTTTCCCATCACATTGTGTGAGCTCAGGGGATATAACTCAGCTCAGAGTTGCCTTCCCTGACCCTCTAAGGCAGCCCCCACTTCCACTGCCTTCCTTCCCTACCCCATGACCCAGTGATATTTCTTTACCTGTTACCTTAAGTAAAATAGGAGCGGAAGATAAATTCTTGGAGTACATTATCAGGCTTCAAACTAAATAATATGTGAAATGACAGCTGATTAGGCCTATTCATGACACCATATGCTTTATGATGAGGAGAAAATCAAGGATTGTCTATTTTTGAAAAATAATTCAAAATGTAGTGTTGACATGAATTGTCTTTGCTTGCTCTGACATTTCCCTTTAAGAAGAAAGGAACTGCAATACTCCCATTTTCCAGATGGTAAAATTAAGTGTCCTGGGCTTTCCACCCAGCCAGCCTTTGGTGACACACCCAGCATCTTGTGGACTCTAGCCAGATACTTCCGTCTGCTCAGATTCCCCCCCCACGCCAGCCAGGGGGAAATGCTGCTGGAGGCTGGAGCCCCCACTCACCTGAGCAAGCAGCCAAGTGTCTGACTTATCAAATCCAGGAGA